AGCTGGATCATAGGATGCCCAAAGGAGGAGACGCTGGTGGAAAGGGGCTTAGAGAAGTTCCTCCCCACTAGCAAAGGCGGACGATGGTACCTGCCTGTCATACGTAGGGCTTGCCCGTGGGGTGCTGGGTGCATGCACGCGTGCTCTACGTGTGACCTTGCTGGGGCTCCAAGGGAGCAGAGAGGCTGCTTGCGCAGGTCTCATGGGACGAGGTGCCCTTCTTGTGGGGTCCTGCCAGGCGCTGGGGGTGGGAAGAGGCAAAGACAAAACTGGGGAAGGATAGGAGCAGGAGCTGACATCCTGCCTTTCTTCTGAGCACCTGAGCCTGACGTCGAGGAGGAGGCGGCGGCTGCTCCCTGTGATGGTGCCGCTGAGCTGTTTGTGAGGTCTCTCCGCTTTGAGCACTTCTCCCCCTGACCTTTGCCTGCTGTTATCTCCAGCACTTGAGTTTGGCAATTGCTCCTCCTCACACCCCATGTAACAAAGCCTTGATATTCCTCACCTGAGAATATAAAAATGCGCATGACCGCATTTCTCTGAGCTGGCCGCTCAAAGGGAAGTGCCAGGGCCACGTGATGACTTCTTTTAAAAGCCTGCAAGCTTTCCCCATAGCCATGCTCCCCTCCGCTCACCTGGGCCTGCAGCACGTGTGCCCTGTGCGGGGAGGTGTCAGTACTTTAACCCCACAGCTGGAAGGTGCGTGGGGTCAGGGCAGTAAAGTGCTGGGCTGGAGGGGAAGGATGGAGCTGGAGGTGGGTTTTGCAGGTCGCTGGGCTGGAGCCTGTGGCCAAATATGCCTTGGTTCTGCTGATGATCCGGCGGAGCCAGTCTGGCCCCAGGCGGTGGGTTTGCGTGTTGGAGAGAGCAGGGCACGTGCACGAGGCTTGGAGCTTGCTTGGCAGCTCCCCTCTACCAGCACCTTCTCCTCTGGCGCTGTCTCCCAGTGCCCAGAAGTCGACAGCGGGCCTGCCGTCTTGTCAGCTCCGCTGGGTGTATTTGCAGCTGCACCGCACCAGTGTGTGCCGGTGCTGTGGACCCTCGGTGCTGGCATGCGATCCCTGCCTGACCTTAATGGCCTGTGACCTGTGCGCGCTCGGGCGTGCAGGGCCGTGTCCTTCTCCCGGTGGCGAGCTCACCCTGCGGAGCAGGATCGGGCCCCACTCCAGGGGCACCCGCGCCCTGGGAAGGGAGGAGCAGCGGGAGGGTGGAGCGGTGTTTTTATCGAGTTGCTGAGTGGGAACAGCAAACGTCCTGCCCCTCGTGGCACTTGCGGCAAGAGGCGCCGGGTCACCTGTTGCATATTTTTCAGTTTTGATAAGTGTGTCCTGAACGTATCCGGCACCTGGGTCCCATGGGAATGTCGGGGAGGTGGGGAGAGGCTGTGGCTCCTCCCTGCTGTGGGCAAGCTTTCTGGGTGAGTTTCAGCTGCGCGGGAGATCTCCTTCCAGGATGCAGAGGCAAAATGTCTGTGAGCCAGGGAGCAAAGGCAGGAGCGGTGCTTGCTGGGGGCTATTTGCCAGTAGTTGTCTAGGAGGCTGCTCCAGTGCGCAGACAAGGGGGGGGCTGGTGGCAGTGAGAGCATCCCGTGCCTGCTCCTGGGGTAACCTTGCCTCCCTTGTGCTGGGAGGGAGGTGGCAGGCTGGCTTTTGGTGCTGGCTGCTCCTCTGCCCTGTACCCTCCGGCAGCTGGAGTGAGCATGGGTCAGTGGCTCCTTGGGAGATCCTTCCGAGGACGGGACTGCACTTGCTTTCGGGGGTATAAAGCCAGAGCGGCGCCTGTGTCCTTCTTCAGTTTGCTGCGTCTAGCCTGGCTTGTGCTGCTTGTCATGCTGGTGGGCTTTTCTCAGCCCCTGCGAGCAGTGTGGCCGCTCCAGCAAAACTTGGAAAGTCCCTTTGCATGGGTGCCTCGTCTGAGGCGGGGGCGTTTGAGAGCTCTGCCCTTGGGTTGCATGCAGGGGACACGGTTGCTGGTAGGGTGGTGGCACCCAAAGGTTGCCCTCCCAACATCCCCACCCTGATGCCAGTGGTGGCTAAACCTGCTTTTGCCCTTCGCTGCCTGCCCGATCCCGAGCGGTGTGTCCTCCACGCCGGGCTTCTCGTGGAGTAGGGTGTTGCGGGAGTGATATGGGCCCGTGTGGCAGGGAGCAGTGGTCCTCTCAGTGCAGGGTGTGCAGAGGATCTGTGCCCCCAGTGGGGTTTGGGGTGATTTGGCTGGGGACGGGGGTTGTAGCACCCAGCTCAGCAGCTTTCTGGGGGAAATAGCTCTTCTGCCCCAAAGAGCGTTTACGGAGCAGCTGTACCTGCTTCTGACGCTGGGACGTAAGAGCTCATGGGCATCCTGGAGCAGCACGAGCTGTGCCGCAGATGCTGTGGTCCGCTCCAGTGTGGGAGGAGAGGTGCGGAGCGGAAGGAAGCTTACCTCCCTCTGCACGGAGCTCCATGGAACTCTGGTGCAGGTCGGCAAGCGCGAAAGAGCTGCTTTGGTGTCAGATTTCAGTTTTCTTATAAAATAAGACTTTCCCACTCCTGGCTGCTGCTGCATTTCCCTCTGCTCGCGGGAAGGTGGGGGGGGTGTTGGGTGCCGCTCGGCATGGGGCAGCCGGGGTCGGTGGGGGTCTGGTGACCTCCGCGTTAAGTGGCTGACCCTGCCCAGCGTGTGACACCTCCTGATGTTCCATGG